TGTTACAATGCCAAGTTGAATTGAAAGGTGTTGCAGACCATTTCTCCAAATTCCATCTTTCCAGAGAGCAACTGAGGAAGAGAGATCTCTTTGCCAGTTAATTCATTAATGGCAAACAATTTGACATTACAAAAGCACTCGGAACAAGGCATAGAAAGTGCTTCTGCAGGAAGATGAGAAAAACATTTTTTTTTTATTATTGTGACTGATAGACGTGAGGCCTAGATCTGCAAAATCTGCAAATGTGTTAAGCTTTGCAAGGCTGTGCGTTGCGGTATCTCGCTTCTGAAGTGGAGTTGCAGCCCCTGAGCTGGGACTCTCCTCCTCCTGCCGCACAGGATGTACCAAAACCAGCGCTCTGGGGCAGGGAACTGGTTAAGCTTCTGTGACAAGGGTGTGCCTTAAACCCCGTCCTGTCAGGGGACTGTCAGCCCCTCAGTCAGGGTCTCAAGGCCTCCCTGTGCCAGATGATAATTCCCAGCCTGAGACCATCCTCTAGACACGGGCCCCTGCTCCGTCCTTTCCGAAGGGAGAGCAGAGTGGCTCTTGAGGAGTCAGAGGGTCAGAGTCCTTGCCAAAGATGTGGATTATATATTCCTGTATTTCCTAGCATGTCCAAGCCCTTTTCTGCCTGGGGACGGGCCCCTCTGTGCTCCCTGAAGCACTGCCATTTTATTATTAAAAATAGGAAAGCGAAGCCCGTAGGGAGATGCCTCAGCCCAGAGGGAGGCAGCAAGGAGCCGGGCTCTCCTCCGGGGCAGGGACGAGGTCGCTCACTGGCAAGATTCGCTGAGGTCTCAAGATGGGTCTCCGGTGCCAAGGACTGTTTGTGTGTTTACAAGAAAGGCTTTTTTGGCACAGCACGAAAATTGTCACCGAGGCTGGGACGGAGGGCTTGCCCCTTCCAGCGCATCTAGTGCAAAACTGGGTCTCGAGGAAACAAATCTCAGGGAGAGAAGGAGAACGTGCCTTCTCCTGTTGCTCTGACATTGCCACTTTATTATTTTATTTCATGCGTTAATTCCTATATAATTTATTTTCTCACTTGATTAATATTTCCCAGCATTTGTTTGTTTCATCTTTGCTTCTTTTATTTAACCCCTTGTTGCTGCTCTTTGCATCCACTCTTTTTAACCAGTGAGTATTTGTAATTAAAATGCCATTCCCTCTCCCACCCACCCCCTTCTATTTTTTAACTTTCACCTTCCCTTTCCCACCAAGGTGTCCTGCAACTCGTGGGCCTGTTCCTTAAAATCCTGCTTATACTTCTCCCCGTAATAAACATCTCCCACTCGCTTTCGTACGTAAACCCCATGTTTGACTTATTAATCCTTCAAAGTGGGATTTGAAGGGAGCACAGACCATTCTGTGGGCCCGATGTGGCACCTCGCAGTGTCCCCTTGGCATCTCCATTTTAATAATAAGCACATTATTTGATTCTTAAGATTTTAAGAAGCAAAGAAGTTTGGGGCTGTGCAGAAAGGAAGCTGCTGAACAGAATTTGTCCCCTTCTGCAGTGCAAAGACAGGGCTCGGAGCGCTGAAACAACTTGGCCCCTCCCCAGGAATGGGATGTTTGGCACCGGCTCCAAGTCCGTGTTTTGATGCTTTGAAACTGTGTTTTGAAACTGGGTTCGTTTGTCTTCAGCTGGACGACGTTCCCATTTTCGTTCCCGGCTGAATTCCTTTGCTGCATCAAACCCCATCTTCCTGTTTGTAATTGTGAGAAAAACGGCTTGTTTTTATCTACCCTGAGTTGACTCCAGCTGCAGGTGGTTTGGAAAAACGAGGGAAAGATGGAGAGGAACTGGCCTCCCGTCTCCTGCGGGACAGCTCAGCTGTGCCTGGGTCAGAGCGAGGGGCTGGCCATCCAAAATCACGGATGGGGGAGCTTGAAACACCAGTCAGCAGCAATGTTTGCTGAACCTTGGCTTGGCAGAAAAAAAAGGAAAGAAGTAGAATATTTTTCACCCTGCTTTCCTCTCTTAAAAGAGCGAGACTGGGGAGTGGGGTAGGCTGCCTCGCTATTTAGATTTAGAAACAAAGCCCTTTTTTGTACATCTCATGGTGTCTTTGCCCGGGTACAGTGTTCAGCTTCGTTTCTGGCCCAAAGCAGCCAATGTGCTGCTGCTAGAGAGCCTGAGATGTGCCTACAGCTCACCTGCCTTCAGGCTGTCTAACCTGGACGGGGGCAATAGTGTGCCCAGAGTATTTCAGGTATTTCAGGTACGCTGCAGGTGCCCTTTGGGACTCCAAAGTAGCATTTAGGATGACTAAACTGAGCAAGGTTTTCATCAAGGATTTGGCCTGTCGGCGTGAGCTCTGAATTAATATTGCAAGCAAACTTTAGCACACAGCTTCAAGTATTTTCTGGAGCTCCACGTGCTGAAAGGGAATGCAAACACGTTGCAGCCTTTTATAGAAGGCAATGAGGGACTAGTCTAAGGTGTTTGTGTTCTAAAATTCAGGAATCTGTGCAAGCATGTAATTCCTCTACAGACGGAGTTGCATTTTATTTGATAGCGACAGCCCTTTGCCAAGTTCAGTTACGTTAGATCGATTCAAATCAGAATTTGGATCCTTTATTTCAGCTGCCTGGGGGTTGAGGGAAACCCGCTTTGCGGCTGCAGTCCCAAAATTCAGTTATACTTAAAATCTGTATAATGCAAGAGATATGGGAATATTTCATTGAAATATCCAATTGTGAGTATCGAAGAGTCAGTCTGTCATCTAAAAGATTTAAAATTTTAGTAGTGGATGAGCAGCAGTGCAAATAGGTGGAAGAAAGGTGCTTTTTAAATTTTAGAAGTGCCGTCCCAATCTGATGTTCAGATCTTCAAGCACCTAAGTAATAAGAAAACCCACAAGTGGTAGGTGCCTAAATGCCTTGATGGAGTTGGACATAATTAGGTCAAGCACTGGAGCAGGCTGCCCACAGGTTGTGGAGTCTCCATCCTCACAGATACCCAAAAACTCAGCTGGACTCTGGGCGCTGGAGGTTGAGCTGGCAACCTCTCAAGGTCCTTCCAACATGATCCTGTGATCCCCATGGTGGTCATAAATGTTGTATGTGTGTAGTGGCCATTTACCCTGTGCATGCAGATGTGACACTCTACATAAGTCATGTCAACCAAACCATTTATTTAACCATTTATTCCTGATTTATTTAAATCTACTTGCTATTGAGAAAGATTTGAAATGAATTCTGTTTCTGTACTGTAGGTGAAAGCTGTGCACTGCAAAGCTGGAGATACCGTTGGGGAAGGAGACCTGCTGGTGGAACTGGAATGAAAGGTGGCCTCCACACTGTTGAATTAGCTAAGCCTTTATTATTTCCATCCATAAAGTAAAATTAAGGCAATTCAACACAGAAGATGGACAGTCCTATGTGCAAGATTTTATACAGTCATATTTATTGTATCAGTGGTTAAGACAGCAAACACAGATGTTAAACCTTGGCAGCAGATCCCAGATTTTTACTTCCAGAAATACTTGTACATAACCTTTGTAATTCTTTGATTTTTCAGGATCAAATAAAATCAATAAAATACCATTTCTGCTTTAAAACAGGAAAAGCCTCTTTTTTAAAAAGAAAAAAGAAAACAAAAGCCCAGATCCGATTCATCTTCTCCATGGCAATATCACTGGTTTGAGGCCCCAGCCAAATTACACAGAATGGTTGGTAAGAGTGAAAAATTAACCACCAAGTGGGTAACCAAGCGGTTTTTCTGTGCTCTGCAAAAGCACTGAACAAGTCCTGCCGGTGCCTTACGTTCTCATCAGATTTATTGTAATATTTTGAAGCCTTTGTGCAGACTAGGTGTAAATTACAGGTCAGATGTTTCATTTTGCTGGTGCAGACTTTCCCCGTGTATTTTCATTTACAGCGGTAAGGGAAATGTCTTCGATTCACATTCCATACTCAAATTTCCCCCTCTCCCCTTTTTATCTCTTTTGTATTGACTACTGGGTGCAAGTCCTCACAGGAGGTGCTGGCACTGCCCTTGAAGCCCCTTGGCCACCCCCAGGGGATTGCTAGAGGCACTTGCTGTCCCTCAGGCCAAGCCTCCTCCTGAACTCCTACAGGAAACCCAAGTGTCTGGTCTTTCGTTGTGCAGAGGCTCTTCCTAAAGATTGTGTGAAGAACTAGGACTGTTCATAACATGTAATTATATCCTGCTGGAGGAGCTGCGTGGCCGGTGTGGGAAAGCAGAGAGGGCCTGGAGAGGAGGAAGACTGAAGAGACTCGAGCAGAAGTGACTTGGTCAGAACAGGTAAGAGGATGTATTTTTTTTTCCCCACTCCTCACTCAGGAACTCAATGGCACAGGATGGTGAAGATACCAGGAAGCTGGTTATTTGGTTATTCAGCCTGGAGAAGATGAGGCTGAGGGGAGACCTTATTGCTCTCTACAACTACCTGAAAGGAGGGTGTAGAGAGGTGGGGGTCGGTCTCTTTTCTCAAGTCACAGGCGACAGGACGAGAGGAAATGGCCTCAAGTTGCGCCAGGGGAGGTTCAGGCTGGATATTAGGAAAAATTTTTTCACTGAAAGGGTTATCAGACATTGGAATGGGCTGCCCAGGGAGATGGTTGAGGCACCATCCCTGGAGGTGTTCAAAAGACGGGTTGATGTAGTGCTGGGAGGTATGGTTTAGTGATGATGCTCCTTGTTTGTTGTGTGGGTGTCTATTTTTGTCAGTTAGGTTGACGGTTGGACAAGATGATCTTTAAGGTCCCTTCCAACCTAGAAGATTCTGTGATTCTGTGAAGTTTACTGGGTTCAAAATGTTAGTGTGTGGTTAACAGAGGCTCCTTCTTCCGTTAATTGATCTAGCTCGTTAAGTCTGCAGCTGTGGCTCACTGGGCACAGTGGTACCTCCGCAGTCGCTGCCAGCATCACTCCTGTCCCTACGCTCCCGCCTCGGCCTCCGCTGCTGGGCCAGGACACTGGGCCACTCCTGCCCTTCGCTCTCACCTCCTACAGCTGCTTTTTCTTTCTGTTTCCCAACATCCCTCTAAGTCACCCTTCCTGCCATGCCTTGACCACTGCCCCAGGGAGGAGGAAGGGGCCTGCTCTCGTTTGGTTGCCGAGGATGTACAGGGTCATGCCACTTCCCAGAAAAATCCCTCTGGCCAGAGGCGCCTGCGCCCTTTACTGGAAGGTGAAGGACAAAAACAAGTCTGGGAGAGGGCTGGTGACTCATGGTCAACCAGAAAGGTTCACGATTCTGCTTGGAAATTCTGATTGAAGAGGCGTTTTTTTCATGTGATTGAGGCGCTGCCAACTACATCACACGGCCAGGGGGAATAATGCAGTGCAGGGATCTGCTTTGTTAATTAGTTTGCAAAGCCCATTGAGATGAGTAAGGAGAGTGTTTGGGTAATACCTGCCCTCCAGGAAAATGAGTGCTTTTGGAGTTGGAGAATCTGAGGCAGAGACCCTGCAGATCTTCCTACAAATCTCCTTAATGCCATCTTGCCCCTTGCAAAAGGAGCACAGTTCAGCTTCTGCAGGTTGCCCTAAACTTAAAAAAAAAAAGGTATGGTAAAGAGCCAAGACATGACTCTTCTACTTTAAAATTACTTAATTGGCCTACTGCAGCAGCACATGCTTTCTGCCTGATTTTCTAAATGAGGTGCAGCAGCACCTGATCAAATTTAGGTTGATTCCTCACCCGGGCTGATTCCCTGCCCCAGCTCTCCTCTGGCCATCACAGGGCTACTGCTGGGGAAGCAAAAGTACAACATTGTCCTTAATGGTACCTTTAGTACATTTAATCGTCCTTCGGCTCGCTGTGTGGCAAACATTCCCTGCTCACATCCCATTTGGCAGCTTTCTATACTGTACAATCTATAGGTACCAAACAGGAAGGAAAAGATAAGGCACAGTAGCATTACAAGAGAAAGCCACAATTTTCCCAGATTGTACAGAGACCAGCACAGTTGGTTGGGTCAGGGGGACAAAACTCTTCTTTCCGTCTTTTTTTTCTTTTTTTTCCCCCCCCAGTGTAAATATTGCAATAATCATAATACAGGTCCTTTGGATATTTTTTACAATGTACATAAAATCTTTCCCAGATGATAGGATATTCAGTTTGCGGACGGTTGCAAGTTCTGCATTAAAGTGCTTGGCTAAAAGTCACCTCGATAATGGTAAGTGCTTGCAACAGCTGCATCTGGGGGGCAGCTGACAGCAGCTTTGCTTTTCCTGGTCCCCAACACCCCTCCACTCCCCCACCCCACCCCCCAAATCCCACAGTCACTCAGTGAACTGAAGTGGTACCTAAAGTGCTTAGAATGTTAAATTAAAAATACAGCTTTTTAAAAATGTCATTCCCTTTTACTCTTTTAATATTTCTTCACAGTACCTTATAAAACTAAACATGTTTTAAAAATGCTCTTTTTCCAGTTCAGGAAAACACTGCAACACAGAGTAAGAATAGTCATTAAATTTCCTCTATTCCTCCAGCGATTTAATATTTGCCTTGAAGCGCGTGGTATCTATATGGTCACCTCCCCCTGTTTACATTCAGTAACCTACTAAACACCGTTAAGAGTGAGTATTAAATGCCAGTTGTGCTTTACTTTGTTGGCAGATGTGATTTTTTTTAAAAATCACTTTCAGCTATTAGTGCAATAGTACCATCGTTACGCCACCCACCTTGCAGAGCTACCCAAGAAAATTGGTCAATTCAGGTAAAAAAAAGAAAATTAGCCTGTTCCTCTGCCTTCCACTGACCTTTAGTCACCCATTGAGGCAAAGGGGGGGGGGAACGGACGGAGAAAATGACTAGACCCCAAAACTGATGTGAAGATACAGTTATTTTTAGGCCTGATGCAAACCCAGTTACTGGCAGCAGGTTAGCGGGGGTGAGGAGGACACTTGACCAGGCAGGGGACGAGTCCCCATCTCTGGGCCTACAAGACTTCAACGCTAGCGCCGAGGCTGCCGGGTTGGGAAGGTTACAAGAGATCTTGTGTTGTTTTAATAGGAAGGAAGGTGTTACAGCTTTCCTGGCAAGGTTACCCATGGACACGTGCTTAGTACTACGTCTTCAGCCGGGCCGCGTCACCTCCCCTTCCTAATCCCGGCTCTCGCGTAGGACGTAGGAGAGGCCGTGTTTCCCCGAGGAGTCGTAACTGTCATGGTAGGGGAGGCCGACCCACTCGGGGGGGTACGTCGTCGTGCTGTAGACGAAGCACTCCACCACGCCCTCGGCGGCCGCCCGCCCCTCGCCCGCGCCGCCCTTCCCTTCCCACTCCACCACCTCGATGCTCATCAGGGTGCGCTGGTACATCTCGGGGCAGCCCTCGAACTCATCCAGGAACTGCAGCATCTGCTCGTCGACCGTGTAAATCTCCCCGGCGACGTGGTGTCCCGTCCCCGGGATGTTCAGCATGTAAGGGATGTTGTATTTCCCTGCGATCACCAGCGGGTACTTCTCCACCGTGCGGCCCCGTCCTTGGAACTTGGCCAGCCCCTTGGCCGTGTCGATCATGTGCTTGTAGTTGGGCTGGCCCTTCTTCAGCGTGCCGTACACAAAGACACGAGCCATCGTACCTGCAAAAGCGGCTGGAAGACAAAAGGCCTGCGTTACCCAGGTGGCTGCTTTGGCCAACCCTCTGGAGAACCGCACGCACGCCGAGATGGGGTTGTACGCGCAAGGCTCTTCAGGCAGGTGCAACAGTGGTCTCGTAGTCCTACACCTCATTTAAATACCATACTGCATTCAAATATCGCTTTAAACTTTTTAGTCAACGCCTGTAACCGTGAAAAACAGATGCAAAGAGAAAGCCGCCCTTGCTGGTTTTTGTTGTAATCCATGTACAAAACCCATGGTTTCTCTAAGGAATCCACAACATCAGCCAATGCATCCCTGAGCCTTGGGGAAAAGGGCTGAGCCTTCCTTCTTTTTTTTTTTTTTCCTCTCCTTTCTCACCATTATGGAAGCCACCCCAGTGATGGAAACAGGCTCTGCTTAGCACATCCTTTATGGGGGGAGAAAGTATTATTCAGGAAGAAATTCTTTACCGTGAGGGTGGTGAGACACTGGAACAGGTTGCCCAGGGAAGTTGTGGATGCCCCATCCCTGGAGGTGTTCAAGGCCAGGCTGGATGGGACTTTGAGCAACCTGCTCTAGTGGGAGGTGTCCCTGCCCATGGCAGGGGAGTTGGAACTCAATGATCTTTGAGGTCCCTTCCAACCCCAACCATTCTATGATTCTATGCTTAAATCATGGTGCAGCTCAGCTAAGCAGACACCTTCCTGTGCTGCTCCACTGCATTGATGGTGTAACCAGCCCAGGTCAAACCTGGTTATTAAAACTTGCAGGAGTGAAGCCACCATTAGTTTGTTTTCCCTCCCTCCTCTGCTCAGGTCTTCCTTTCAGCAGCGTTTCACTCAGTATTTCAGAAACAACCGTTTAGCCTGTAACAGAAGAGCCTGGTTGAAGTTTGGGTGCCTTCTTGTTCCATGGTAAAATAAAACAGAGTGGCATTAGTCATCTGAAAGCAAATGAACGCATTTATATGTCGGGTTATGTGGCATTTGCACACATCTGATGGTATTTTTTTTTTATCCAAATAGTAATACCAGCTCTGTCACAGTCTTAATAAAAAAAAAAGGGGAAAAGAAAAGCAACCTGCACCATGCCCATACTCACAGCAAGCTAACTATGTGCAAACTGGGACACCACCAAGACAAACAGAGGGCCTGTCTGTCACCAAGAGGGATGAAAAGGCTTTCAACTCCAGAACTTACAAGCAAAATGAGGCACGCTGAAGAGGTTTTGGTAACCCCAGCACTGAGGTCCTGCTTGCAGACTGACTGACAAAGGCTCCAGGGAGAGAAGTGGGGCAGCCTGAGGCACCCACAGCCCCAGCGAGGGGGTGCTGGCTGAAAGGACACGTCTGCCCTGCTCCATCAGAGAAGGGGACCCACAATGGGTCTCCATGCTGATAGATGTTGGGTGACAAACCTCATTGACATACCTGGTAAGGCCAGACACCGTGGTCTTCACAAGCACCTTAGCCTTCTGTCTGGGGGAGCTGTACAAATGTTATTGCCATTTATTCACTGGGGGATGTGGCATTTCGGTGCCAACAAAACTGGAAGCTCGGGCTGCTGGCAGGAAGGCCAGGTAACACTGTTCTCCTCTCTTCCCCCCCAGATACCCAAAAATGCTAAGCCACATCTGCCTGAAGTAGCCAATTTGCAGACGTTCTAGCCCTCTCTTGAAAACAGCCCCTGAATGATGCTGTTCAACACTCACCTGTGAGCATAAAACACTCAACGCTGGTTTAAATGGGAGAAAAGTCTGGCTTTACTGAAAGGCAGGGGGGAAAAAAAGGTACCCTCATCGTTCCTGGGGTTATTTTTCGTGCTGTACCCTGTTTGTCCCCCATCATTTCCGTGGGGCAGAAGCGGTTCTGCCCCTCGGTTGGCGACCGGGCAGACCCTGCCTCATCGTCACCCAGCCCGGCCCTGGGGCAGCAGCTCACCACAGCATCACAGGAGCACAGGCAGCTCCTTTTGGAAGAAAGGTCATTGAACAATTTAGTTTGAGTTTGGAAAAAAAAAAAAATCTTTAAAAGAAGATGGGAAGTAGGACCTTAATGTATTTTCTGCTTTTTACTCTCCTCCTGGTAGACCGTTAGGTCAGTTACCCAAAGGGGCACGTTTCCGGCCAGGAGGAGTGTCATTTAAAATAACCAGTAGCAAAGCACTTTCCCCCTTGGTGAAGTAAACAGTTTTGCTCTGTAACAGACCAGTTTTCCCATCAAAACCAGTGCGTGCCTGTATTTACTGGGAAAAAGCTTTCACTTAAGGAAAAAAAAGACAGCGCTGCCTCCCCCCCCCCCCCCCCCCCCCCCGTATTTTATCACAGATACTTCAGCGTAATTTATCCTTCGTGACATAAACGAGTTTTTTTGGACGCCGCTCGTTCCCTCACAATAAGAAGAGCATTAATATTCAGTCGGTCTGACTCCCTCTTTTATAAGAGAAATCATTACCTTTCAGATTGTGTTTTGAATAACAAACACAGATCCTTCAGGAAGAAACTTGTCCCAGTGGGGATTGAGAAAGGATCAGAGTTAAGCACTGAAACATGCAATTAATTCCCATTAGGGGATTAGGGCACTCGTGTTCACTTTGAATCAGAAAAATGAATTGTGAATTAAATTGTTCACAACCAAGAGGTTACTTGTCAGAGTTAATAAGTTAAAAAATAAAAAGGGAAACCTAAAACGCACATAAAAACCTCAACAGCGAGCGCTGCATCTGTAAGAAAAAGATACGCTTCATTTCCATGAAACAAAAGCTCTATCTCTACTGTACAGCCGGAGATAAGCTTCCAAAAAGTTTGCAGGGAAGAGGGTCACCCTTCCTGAAACTGGTGAAAATTAAGACCGTGGTTGTGATGGTGCAGCAGCCAGAAAAGTTACTGACGTGAAGCAACACAGATGTCATCCTAGTGCAGGGCCCACAGAATTCAACAACAACAAATCCTTGCTAACCCAGGTTTGGGTAAGTGTTTCTGATTGAGCTTTTGAGCAGCTGGGTTCAGCAGGCAGGACACCGATGGAGACAGAGTGGGGACCTGCTGTTTCAGCCACAGTTTGTGTGGAAGCTGAGGCTCTGGCAGAACTGGGGCTTCGTGGGCAGGTGGCCACGGAGCTCCCCATCACATCACTGTGGTCCACAGTGGCCCTGTCCCTCCTGTGGGATGGGATGGGCACCATGACTTCTCCTTCTATTAAAAAAAACCAAACAAACAACCACCAAAGCCAAGCTCAGACAACCCCGCTTGAGGAGTGATTGAAATAAACTTGGTAAAAACATTCTCTGAACGTCACTCCATATACATTTTTGTATACATTTTTGTTTCTGGGCAATAAATCTGGTCTCCTGTGTGCCGCGTGTTGGGTTGCAGAAAGGCTGTCAGATCTCTTAACATCGTTTCTAGGGCTCGCCTGGCCTGGGCTTTCAAAACATTTTTAGCCACCTTGTGGCAGGAGCGTAAAGAGCAGAATTTTATTTGAGGGTCATTTCACAGAGTTCCCCCAAGCAGCTGAAACGAGTTCCAGGGGGCATCCCTCCCCTCAGGCACCGACAGGAAGGTGCCTTTTCTCACTTAATGCACTTTGACACGTCTTACCTACGTTAAACCACCTGAGAGGAAAAGAAAACCCACCAAAAACCAACCGAAAAAAACCCCAGACCCAGACTCTATACTGTGTATTAGCTGCCAGGACAAAACAAACCCATTCGGAAGGTACTTTCATGAAATATTCATGCCAGAATCATTAAAATTTAATGGCATGGGGAAACGCGAGTGAGATCTTTATGTCATCTCTTCAAACTATTTCTTTTAGCTATGAAAGATGACCTGCCAAACCGCTGGCGGGATCAATTACTAGAGTTGCTTCGTTACGAAGACAGGCAAAGAGCAGAAAATAAAGTCTCACGCGGGTGGAAGATGCTGTTTGGGTGAAAATAAAAGCAGCTTGTAACCGGCGCCGGCCAGCAGCCCAGGTTGCCACTCAGCCTTAGTGGTGGTAGGGCTGCATCACCATCCCACGCCTGCCCTCCCCTACCAGTGGAGTTTTGGGTCAGGGCTTTGATTTTCCCTCTCGGAGCCAAACGGCTCCAGCTCGGTGAGAGAAGGACGGGTGGCCACCGGGCCAGTCACTGGTGACAGTGAACTGCCACCACCAGGCTCTTTGCCTCCCAGCTTGTGCCCCAAACAGCAGCAGCTTCCACAATAAACATCTTTTTACCACGATTCAGACCATTATTGGATCCCACCAGAAAATAAAGGAAGCGATGGTGCCTGCACTGTGCTGGCTCCAGGGCTGCTCGCAACCGCCTGTCAGAACCCGACAGAAAACCAGGACCTAACATCACCATAGCAGGGCTTTTGGTTTTATTTTTTGTTGAAACTTTTTCTCTCAGCTCAGAAAGTATCCATTTCTCTCCCTTCATACAGTAACATTATTTTCCCTTGAGAAAAATTCTCCGCGTTGGCTCGGTGACCAGATATAGTTACACATTAATTCTTCAGAAGTTTCTCAAAACTGTAGGAAACAGGTGAAAAAACAAAATGCCTTGAACTTTAAACTTGAGCCCAGTCTGTTTGAATGAAGCGAGTTTTAAGGTCACTCTTCACTCAATGCTAACTTTCAAGAAGGACTAACATGCCAGAGAGGACTCCTGGGACCGCATCCTGTTGGTCCTTTGATGCTTTCATTTTGTTGCTTGCTATTTTCTTTATAGCACAGACAAGGGCTTCCTGCCCGGGCCGACCCCTTTCCAACCTTGCTGAATACCTCGGAAAAAGTTTATGGCAAGACACCTTTCTTACATTAACCACAGAGGCACCAGCGAAACGATGGCTCCTTTGAAATCAAGAGGTTACGGTCTCCTCGCAGCAGTCGTTCTGCTCAGAAACTGCGAGCTGCTGGTTTGTGAAAACAAACAAGAATATTAGAGTAACCAGTGCCACGTTGGACACCGCCTGAAACGCCACTTAACCTACTTTGCAGATAACTTTTTCATTTCACTTTGGGATAGT